GGCATCTTCAATTTTAGCAATCTTTTCCCCTGCTCCTGCAGTAGCCACTAATGCTGCCATTGCAGGAGCACTTCATGTTCATGACATCCAAGCTCAAGCAGTAACCTATTGGCAAAATTTGAGAGCATGTGTCAAGGCCCCCTGGAGTTATTAATCAGTGTTCCTATCAAAATACACCCTCCCTCCCCAACAAACAGGGAATGAGAATGGGAGAGAATGAGGAGTGGTTGCAGCCATTACACCGGGATGTGCTGTGAGTAGATGTTGTATGTGGTATGCTTGGCCTCAGAGATGCCCAAACCCTACATGAAGCAGGAAAAAATTGGGCTTCCGGGGATATCAGACTTCAAGGGGGAGCTTGAAAGGGAGGGAGTAGCGTGTGTCTGTGACTGTGAAGAACAGAAGACTATCAGCTCTCATGGGGTATGTCTACACTACCCTCCTAGTTCGAACTAGGAGGGTAATGTAGGCATACCGCAATTGCAAATGAAGCCCGGGATTTGAAGCTTGTGAAATGAGGAGTAACGGTAGTTCGAACTAGGAAGCCTAGTTCGAACTACCTAGTTCGTGCCCCGTGTAGCCGCGCTGCATGGGGTTCGAACCAGCGGGGTTTTAAAAATGGCGGCTCCCCGCTTATGCAAATGAAGCCCGGGAAATTCAATGGGTATGTCTACACTACCCCGCTAGTTCGAACTAGCGGGGTAGTGTAGACATACCCATGGAGAGTAGGATGGCTGGGGTTAGGAAATGATAGAGACTGTTTCTGTCAGATTAGGTGGAGTATCAGCATTCACTGTCATCTTACTTTGCTGAGCCTGGTACAAAGAAGAGTCTGCAGAGGGTTCAGCCCAGGAGGAATGGAAGTTTGTGGGGTTTTGTGTGCCTGGTTTGGATTTCAGTTACTGTGGATAAGTTGGAACTGGTGAGACTTGCTGTAGGCCTAAGTGATACTGAGTTGGGAGATGGTGGAGGATGAGTGGATCAGTTGGAGACCAGGAGGAAAACAGAGGAAGAGCTACTGCCATGCTGTAAGGTAGCATGGAGGAAGGATATGGCCACTGTATACGTGTGCTTAGAGATAGTGAGAGTAAGGGTACGTCTAGACTACAAGCCAAAAATCAGTAAGGGTATGTCTAGACTACAAGAATCTTTTGAAAAAGCCTCTTTTGAAAGAGAGTGTATAGACAGCAACCTGTATTTTCGAAAGAGAGCTGCTTTTTCGAAAGAGAGCACTCAGGCAGTCTGATGCTCTCTTTCAAAAAAGCCCGGTTTGCATTCAACAATGCGTTTTTTCATAAGAGCACTTTTGAAAAAAGGCGTTATTCCTTGTAAAATAACCGTTTTCCACGGTCAAAAAAACTGCCACGTTCTTTCAATTTAATTTCAAAAGAACATGGCAGCAGTCTAGATGCATAAGAACATAAGAACGGCCGTACTGGGTCAGACCAAAGGTCCATCTAGCCCAGTATCCTGTCTACTGACAGTGGCCAGCACCAGGTGCCCCAGAGAGGGTGGACCGGAAGACAATGATCAAGCGATTTGTCTCCTGCCATCTCTCTCCAGCCTCTGACAAACAGAGGTCAAGGACACCATTTTATCCCCTGGCTAATAGCCTTTTATGGACCTAACCTCCATGAAATTATCTAGCTTCTCTTTAAACTCTGTTATAGTCCTAGCCTTCACAGCCTCCTCTGGCAAGGAGTTCCACAGGTTGACTACACGCTGTGAACTTTCTTTTATTAGTTTTAAACCTGCTCCCCATTAATTTCACTTGATGTCCTCTAGTTCTTCTATTTAGGGAACTAATAAATAACTTTTCTTTATCGGCCCTCTCCACAGGTGAAGTTTTTTTTGAAAAAAGGCCACTTTTTTTGGAAAAACGCTGTAGTCTAGACATACCCCATGTGTGCCTGTCTGTCTGCTTTATGACATTGGCTCTTTGAGCAATCACTGTATATACGATTGCTTTGTATTTTATTTTTCTGGAATTCTGTTGCCACCCAGAACAAAAATCAGTGTTAACAATTTTTCAGTATTCTTCCTTTAAGGGCCAGGGAGGAACAGAATGCACAGGTGGAAAAAATACAGTGCCTTTAGCAATTGTCATCAGTTTCTGCATTGAGCTGGTAAAGCTGAGCGTATATGTGTACAGGTCTACTGAAGGAATAAGCTCATTCTGCCCACCAGATGCTGTGTCAGTATTTCAGGGGAAGGCAACAGTGTGTGTAGTGGTTAGGCAGGGCAGAGTGAATTACTGAGAATTCTTCAAATATAAGGAAATAGCTTCATAATCTATGAACTTCCTGTGCATGTGTATCTCATTCTGTAACAAACACAGGCGTTAAGGGATTATACAGTAATGTACAAAATAGTTTTTGCATTTTATTTTTCTATAGCACTTTTAAAATAGCTTAGTTTTCTGTAGTAAGCACTATCTTGAGATTTGTGTTTTGATTTCAGAACTGCTGAAAAAAGAAGGGATTAGCTATCATTCCCAGGGTGCAGCTTTCATCTTAAACTTCAAAATTGCTTTATTGATTCTTTATCTTTGAGAATCCTGATACTGTGTTTTCTTGGATGTACACACACAAACTGTGACAGTACCAACCTCTTTCTGCTGGAGCAGAAAGTAAAATATAAAGACTAGCCATCAGAGAAGATTCCATGAATTTATTTTGTTGTTAAACACTTCTTCCAATAGCATGGCATACCTTTTGTTGGTTGATTTTAGTTTTACTATTCCTAGATTTTTTTTTCCTTCACATTGCTCATGGCTATTTATTCGGTGCAGTCATGGGCAACCTAAGCTAATGAATGTGCTGCAGAATTGGCACGCCTTCTACTCAATGTGCCACAGGATTGTTGTAACCAAGACGGTCTCTTGGGATAGGGTGGTTTTGCTAACTGTGCTTGCACACCTAGAATTTGTAGGGAGTGCCAAGTGAACAATAGCAGCACATTGAGTTGATCAGAGCAATCAGAACATGCCCAGATTTCACATGCCCTTGCTTTATGTGTGTGTCACTTCAATTGTACCAGTCAGAAAAAAATCTCTCTGTGCACAGAAACCACCAGAATCTGGCAACTCTGTGCATGGGCAACAGTAAACAAAATGTCTTGTGGACCACACATACAACCCCGATGGACTGCATGTGGCCCTGAGGCTGCAGATTGTCCATCACTGGTTTAGTGTGTTTTCTTGTTGCTACATTTCTGTAGCTCATTTTGACAATATAATTATTTTACTTCCTTACTTTTTTTCTCTCCAATTTGATCTAGAAACTTTGTATAGGTCATAGAAATGTAGAGCTGGAAGACACCTCAAATGGCCATTGAGTCCAGCACATGGTACTGAGTCAGGACCAAGTAAACATGGATTATCCCTGACAGGCATTTGTGCATCATGTTCTTAAAAACCTCCAGTTATGGGTATTCCATTACCTTCTAGGGAGGCGTATTCAAGAACTTGATTACGGTTCCAGTTAAAAAGGTATTCTAGTATCTACACTAAATTTCTTGATGCAGATTAAACCCATTCGTTTTTATCCTTTTTTCAGTGTACATGGGGAAAAATTAAGACACATTGCCAGATTTATGAAAAACGTGATGAATGCTCCTAACTCCCTCTGAAGTCTCATTTAAAAGACAGATCTATAGTCTGCCTTGTTCTTATGGTCACATGCCATATGTTGCTATTTTTCTGTTTGTGGTTCTCCATCCATAGCACAAGACTTCCAATATCCAGGGCTTGACAAATAATGCAGTCTACTCACTTGTGGCGAGTAGATTGCAACCCGGAAGAGCCGGGTTCAGGCGATCTGCGCATGTGCAGAACGATCTGCAGTTCAGCGAGCCCTGCCTATATCTATACTGCAGCTACATTTTCCTGAAGTCCAGCTGCTGTACTGATAAGGATTTGCTTCAATTACAGTGAAACCTTTGTTATCCAGCACTCTGTTAACCAGAAAACTTTAACTGGCATTGCCCCCAGCCACAATACTGTCATATCTTCAGGAGCGCACAAGCCTGGCTTGGTTTATCATGATTGGTTTAACAATTTTGTATTTAAGAAATATTAATCATCTTTAACTCAAAATAGAAATGTGAGACCAACTGCCTCACACTACAAAACTACCAATATTAAAAACTTGAGTTTTACTATTACTATTGTCCATTGGTTTTTCCTAGGTTGATGGGACTCTCAGATAACTGGAATTTTTAGATAACCAGAATGTCCTAATCCCTGAGCGTGCTGGATAATACAATTTTACTGTAGTTAGTCTAGAGATATTTCTTAAAATTGCATGGTATCATTTTGGCTTAAATTGTTTTTATTAATTTTAAAGCTAATTTAATATAAAGGAGAATGGTAAATTACGATGTAATTTCAGCTAAAATTAAAAGGAAATCTGTAGAATACAAATGTTGAAACATAACCATAACAATAAAAACTAGACTAGGTAAGGGCCTAGGATGAATTTAATTTTAGAGTATAAAGTTGTCTGATTTAAGTTTTACCTTCATTTTCAAAGAAAACCAAGGGAAGTAGGCACCCAGTTCACACTGAAGTTTAGTGAGAGTTGGGCACCCAACTTCTTGGTGTTCCATTGTTAATTCCAGACTTTAGGAAGACAAAAGTATGCTTGGCCTCTCATAAACCATAGAGAACGTATGAGCCTTTCTCCAAAGAGTTTATAATGTAGAAATAGATGTGATGCAAAAATAATAAGAACAAATTATGTTAGGGCAGAATATTAAAAATTATCTGTAGTACTTTTTATCCCAACTTCTGTTTGATTGCCAACGTTTCAGAACTACATGTATTTTGTTGTTCTAAGTACCATTCATAAAATACATGAATCAACTTCTAGTTGTACTTAAAATAGACTTTTATAATAAAAATGCCATTCATGTATTCATATATTCAAATTTATCTTAAAATGTGCCTGTTCAATGATTTAGGATGGTTTATTAAAACATCTTTTTTCCCCTTACCCTAGATTGGTGTATTGGCTGTCTAGAGTCCTGAACACTGCAGGTCCTGATGGGGGACTCAGGATCAAGACGTTCAACTCTTGTGTCTCGACTGCCAATATTCAGAAGAAGTATTAGTCGAAGACATGACTCGCTTCCTTCCTCACCCTCCTCCGTTAATACTGTGGGTGTCCATAGTTCCTCTCCTTCTAGCACTAACTCAAGCTCAGGAAGTACAGGCAAGCGAAGGAGCATATTTCGCACTCCTTCGATCAGCTTCCACAACAAGAAGGGAAGTGAACAGAAGTCTGAATCTGCAAGTCAGAATGTATGTATTTCAAATGGTGCTCAGTCAACTCAAAACAGTTTCCAAAAACTGAACTTGGAAGAACATGTTAAAAGCAGAGGGAGGCATTCAGTTGGTTTTGGCAGTTCAAGGAACAAGAAGATAACAAGATCTTTGACAGAGGACTTTGAAAAGGGGAAAGAGCCATCAGCTAACAAGAATGTATTTATAAATTGCATACGTTCTGAAAAAAATGAAGGTGATGACTCTGGGTTTATTGAGGAGCAAAGTAAGCGATCTATTAAGGAATCCTCACGGAAACTTCTCCCGAAATCTTTTTCATCACACTACAGGTTTTCAAAGCCAGTCTCCCAGAGCCAGTCAGTTTCCTGTGTACAACAGTCTGGATGCTTATTGGAGGTTAAACCATATGTCGAAAGTGACCCTGTACAAGTAAAATCCTCTCCATCTGCTGAGATAACAGAATGTGCAGAAAGTTCTTTGCAATCACCACAACTTTCTGCAGACCTCACCACAGTCCAGACCCCTTCAGAATTTTTAGCATTGACTGAAGATTCTGTCTCAGAAGTTGACATGGTACCCAATTGTGGAAACCCAGCACTGTATACACAAAACTTTGACAATAATACTTCTACCTCACACATTTTCCTCAGTCCCACTGTTGCTCATGTGAGGAAAACAGTTCATGTAGAAAGTACTTCCCTATCTGCTCTTATATCTCCAGTGAATCATACAGGCTTTTGTAGTACTGAATCAAATACCTTACCTAAAAATACTTCTGCTAATCAAACACAAGTATTATTGCAAGCCATTGAACTTCCTGTTAAAGATGCCCGGTACATAGGAGAAATTAACTCAGCAGATGCACAAATAGAAACTTTTGTGTTAAATCATGAAGAAAAAGCAGTGGATGGCTCTTCTAAGACACATGGATTATGTGGGGGCCAACACGAAACGACGTTACCAGAATACATTAGAGAAACAATTCCTGTAACACAGTCAAAGATTATTCCCTTCTCCTCTGAATTCCGATCATTTAAAACACAACAGGGACATGAAATAAATCACTCTAAAGGTACGTCAGCTGACTCTCTTGTCTCAATTCTCCTAAAAAAGGTGTTCAAAATTGCTTGGCAAATTAACACATTTGCAGTATTGCCAACCCAAAAAGTGAAAGAAGTAAAATTGTGCTTTTGCTTTTTAAATATTAAATCCATGGTTTTCTAATCTGTCTTCTGATTTTTAGCATCCATGGTTCAGTCTCAATGTATGTGATGAATATAGAGATGCCAACTCTGTAAAATTTATGAGCAACATAATTTTGACCAATGAATCTCTTGATTTTGGGGAGCAGGGGGCTCTTTACACATGATTTTTGATCTCCTGAGGTTGGCAATACTGGGGGCAGCTATAGAACGCTAGGTATTGGGATTCTTGGTTTCTGTTCATGGCTGTGGGAGCAGGTGGTTTTCTAGAGGTTACCAATAGCATAGCCTCTTTGAGTCACCTGCAGGCACGGAACCCTTCATGACCGATGGTAAAAACATGACCTTGTGGGACTTAATCTGAAGAATCCTGTCGTTTAGGATGACTGTATAGCAGAGTCAAAAACTCTAGGGTTACATTTACACTGCAATACAAAAGCTAGGGTTCTGGGACTCAGACCCTGGGTCAATTCTCTGAGGCTCCCCAAACTTGGTGTGCAAGGTAAAAAATTGCAATGTAGATGTTCGGGCTCTGAGACCTACCACTTTCACCAGGTTTAATAGTCCGTGCTCCAGCCCGAACCAAAATTCCATACTACAGCATTTAGCCCCACAATCTGAACCCTGTTAGCTCGAATCAGTTGACCTGGGCAAACTGCAGGTGTTTTGTTCCCGTGTAGATGCACCAGTCTAATGGTGAAAGGGTGGCATTGGGCTGCATTGTGTTACTGTGCCAAATTTTGTATATTCCTTTTGAAAGATTGTGAAATAAAATGGCTATGACTACCTTAAAGAACTGAGTTCTATTGCCAAATCTGCCTACACTGACCTCCGGGAAGCTCTGTGACACCTTTTTGGTGAAATGGGTGCATAATAATTACCCTCCACGGTTGCAGTATGACACTAACTCACAATCAGGATGATGAAGTGCCAAAATGTTAACATTAGTCAGTGGAAAATCTGAGTTTAAAGCTTATGTCTTTGGCCCTGCAGTTAAACACCTCATCCTCTAAACTGCAGGGCATGCACTGGAATATAGTGTGCTCCTATTTTGCTTTCTTAAAGTAGCATGAAGGAGGCATCATCAAGAGACTGCTTTTAGCAGGGGTCAAAATCAAGTTACTCTCAGTAAATTTGAGAGACTTGGCAAAACTGCATTTGTCATGTTAAAATTTTCAAAAGAATGCACGCAAATGTGTAGGAGTGCATAAATACCTATTAGCTTAGGCACGTCATTAACATCATATGGTACCAGAGGTTATAAAGTGCAGGAATACGTGCAGAAATGCACAAAACCAATTGGCAGGCACATTTACCAGATGAATGGCCTTGTCAGGCTAATTTAAGCAACAAACTAGCTTTTGACAGAAGGTGCATGTTCAGTTTGGTAAAGTTAGTCAATTTACATAGATCAGTTAAAAAGTTCTAAATATTAGTCTTGCCCTTTGTTTCACTGGGCTTATTTTCACTGCAGTGT